TTTTTAATCACGTTTTTTTAATTAAAGTGTGATTATATATACATTACTACTTTTAATCACACATTCTAATTAAAGTGTGATTATTTATATATTTTTTAATTACGTTTTTTTAATTAAAGTGTGATTATATATACACTACTACTTTTTAATTACATTTTTTAAGTAACACTACAAGAAAAGTGGGCTTATGAGACGGAACTTTTTGCGACGGTACATTTGCCGTCGCAAAAAATGTGACATTTTGAGACGGCACAACTTGTCGTCGCAAAAAATGTAACCTTTTGAGACGGCACAATTTGCCGTCGTAAAAAATATGACTTTTTGAGACGGCACGACTTTCCGTCTCGCAAAAAAAAAATGTGACTTTTTGTCACGACCCAAACCCGGCCCTATGGGTTTAGCACCGTAACCGGCCAGTAATCCGAGATTACCGAAGGCCAGACGGCACAATTTGCCGTCGTAAAAAATATGACTTTTTGAGATGGCACAACTTGCCGTCGCAAAAAATGTGACATTTTGAGACGACACAATTTGTCGTCGTAAAAAATATGACTTTTTGAGACGGCACGACTTGCCGTCTCGCAAAAAAAAAAAATGTGACTTTTTGAGACGGTACAACTTGCCGTCGCGAAAAATATGTCTTTTTGAGACTGCACAACTTGTCGCTGCAAAAAAATGTGACTTTTTGAGACTTCATATATATAGTTACAAAATGGTTTAAATAAATGCAATGGTATTTTTCTATCATAAAAAAAAAATTAAAAAAAACGACGTCGTCTTACTCTTTTGATATAACATTTCTCTTTTCATCTTCCTGTCTCTCTGTCTCTATCTCTGTCTCTCTTCTCTTTCTCTCTCTCACTCATCACTCTTCTCTGTCTGTCTGTCTCTCTCTCTTTTTCTCTGTGTCTCTGTCTCTCTTCTCTTTCTCTCTCTCACACATCACTCTTCTCTGTCTGTCTCTCTTTCTTTATGTCTCTGTCTCTATCTCTCTTCTCTTTCTGTCTCTCACTCACCACTCTTCTCTGTCTGTCTGTCTCTCTTTCTCCTTGTATCTCTCACTCATCTTTCTTCTTTCTCTGTCTCTCTCTCGTTTATCTCTTTTTGCTATTCTCTCTCTCTCTCTCTCTCTCTCTCTCACACTTTTTGTCTATCTCTCGAGCATCTTTTGTCTCTCTCTTTTTTTTTTGTCTCTCTCTCTCTCTTTGCTATTCTCTCTCTCTCTCTCTCTCTCTCTCTCTTTTTGTCTATCTCTCGAGCATCTTTTGTCTCTCTCTTTTTTTTGTCTCTCTCTCTCCATCTCTCTGTCTCTCTCGTTTTTCTTTATTCTCTCTCTCTCTTTTTTTTCTATGCCTCTCTCTCATTAATCTCTTTTCGCTATCTTTCTCTCTCTTTTTGTTTATCTCTTGTTCATCTCTTGTTTCTTTGTTTTTTTCTGTCTCACTCTCTCTCTATCTTTTTCTCTCTTTGTCTATCTTTATCTCTTTCTCTCTCGGTCTCTCACTCATCACTCTTCTCTTTCTCTGTCTACCTGTCTGTTTGTCTGTCTATCTCTCTCTCTCTCTCTCCCTCACTGTGTTCGCCTTGCTCACTTTCTCCCCCATCTCTTCTCTCTTTGTTGAGCTCCCTCTCGATTTAGCAATCCAACCATGTTGGGGACCCCCAGTGGGCGGTGACCCCCAGCACCCCCACCTCCACGTGGGGGGCTGTGAGAGCAAGAGTGAAAATAAATAAATAAATAAAATTTTTTGAACCAATCAGAAAACAGTGGGGGTGGTGGGGATCACTCCCACTGGGGGTCTAGGGCATTTTTCTTATCGATCCACTACAAGAAAATGCACTTTTAACGACCACTTTGTCACTTTCTCGCTCATCACTTTGTCTCTGTTTCTCTATCTTTCTTCTCTATCTGTCTCTCACTCATCTCTCCCTCTCACCACCCATCTCCTCTACCACATTTACCACTATTGCAAATGCCATTCCACTACCACCACTACTACCACTGTTGCCACTCCACCTCTACGATTACCATTACTACCATCATCGCCACCACTCCCTTACCACCACTACCACTACTACTACCATTACCTCTCATCCACCACTGCCACTCCATCTCCTCTGTCTGTCTCTCCCTTTCTCTATGTGTCTCTGTCTCTCTTCTCTCTCTCTCACTCATCACTTCTCTCCCTGTCTGTTTATTTCTCTCTCTCTCTCTCTCTCTCTCCCTCTCTCCCATTTGTGTTCGCGTTGCTCACTATTTCCATTCCGTCTTTTCTATTTACTGAGCTCCCTCTCAATTTATCGATCCACTACAAGAAAATACACTTTGAGCACCACTTTGTCTCTCTCTCGCTCACTACTCTGTCTCTCTGTCTCTGTCTCTCTCTCTCTC